GGAGGAGCGTGGACTTAGTCAACAGGATTATACAAGAAGGTATATTTCTTTCCCGTACAATTTTCATTATTTTCTAAATATGACAGGTCTCATATATATACATGACGTTTATTATGTGGATGTACATAAGAAATACTAATTATAAATGATAAAAATAAAAAATAAAAAAAGTGAGATATTCATTCAGGGATAATACAGGCATTGTTCGAGAAATTTGCTATTTTAGTTGATTTTTTGACAATTATATTTGAGTAGTTAACTTCTTTTTTTTTTTTTGTAGTTAATTTTATAATTGTGAGAAAAAAAGTGAAATAATTATAAATTGGATGTAATATTTTATCTTGTTAACTATTTTAATAAAAAATTAGGTAAAATGTGAATAAAATATACTTATATTTCACCTAATTTCACACATCTTTTCTCTTTTTAAATTGCTCCTCAAATTCCTTGATCAAATACAACATTAATGAGTTATTTTAGTCCAATCATCTTCTCAAAACCTTAACGCCAAAATTGCCATGATCCGTATTTTGGTGACAGCCAAACAGCTTTTTAATGAATGAATATTAGTATAAAGTCTAGGTGTGACGCAATAGTAAAACACCTCGAGCAAGGTCTGACATAATGAAACTCTTGTATTACCCACATTTAAATGGACTGGCCCAAATTGGCGCAAGACTTTAGAGGGCTTGTCCACACAACATCCTAGCAAACATATGATTTGCACACCCCCCAAACAAGTAGTCCCATGTGGTTAAGGGCAAGTTTAGTACCAGCGATAAATTTGGATATCTTGAATTCGACTATAACGTCTCGTTTGAGAACAGATTTTTTTAATAATTTTTTTTTATTTTTTTTGACTAAAATATAATGTAAGAGAAATTAGTATGTTTCAGATGACTTTTTAATTTTTTATGAAAAAATATACAAAAAGAAGAGAGAAAATAGAATATTTGACTTTTTAGTATAGATTGTTGGCTTTTTGATTTTTTAACAATTTTTTAACTTTTTGACTAAAATCACCGGTTGCCAAACGAGGCCTAGCTAGTAAACATGATTTACACGCACTTCAACAAATTCGGATGTTTTAGATTCGACTTTAGAGGGTTTGTGTATATTACATTCTAATAAATAGAACCAGGCATGGGGTATTTGAATTGCACAATTCGTCCAATTAGAATCAATCCGCATAAAAATAAATGATTTTGCAGACACAATGTTGGTGGATGCGGTTTGAAATATGGCATTATTGCGGGTTGCGGGTTTTACCCGCACCGGCAAGAATCCGCAAGCACTTAGACCTTTTTTTTTTTTTATAAAAAAACATGAACTATTGATTTCATTCATCATATCCTAGATATTTTTGGATTTTAAATGATTTTACTTTAATTGTATTGTTAGGTAGTAAATGGTCTTGATGTTTTAATTTAGGATTTTGAAAGATGTGCTTTTATTAGTTTATGATTTTATTTAAAAGTTTAAGATTTTGAATGATTTGTTTGTTTTAGGAATTGATTTTGTTGTATTTTTAATTTTACAAATTTTAATTCATTAATTATTAATGTTGAGCATTGTAGAAAATGGGGGAAAATGGTCCAAAATAAATATTTACAAAATGGAAAAAAAGAAAGGCCTAAAAATATATTTTTAAAGAAAAAAGTTCAATTCGCAAACCATCCATAATCACCCGCATATCTTCCAATCCTATCCGCACAAACCGCAATCCGCATATCCGCGAATCATATTCGCACAAACCGCAACCAACACTGCGGATGGTTTCGGATTCAATTTTCCCAAAACCGCACATATGCGGACAAGTCCAAAGCACAAATTGAATCTTCCAAAACCAAACCGCGAGCTCTCCTACTATCAAACATGATGACTTACACTCCCAACACGAAATAATTTGCACAAGAGATGAACTCTAGTACGAGTTATAAAATTGAATGTGTTAAATTTTAGTCTGACAAGTATCTTCCAAGATTAACACGTAATTTGCAGGTGATCACAAATATTCAAACATCTCTCTCCAAGTTTTAAAAGGCAAAATATCAGTTTAATTTGTAACAATTTTCAAGTTATTAACGATCCACTTGAGTGATGATAGGGTTAATCAAAAGCTTGTTTTCTTATAAATCGGTTTTCTTGGATGTAAATTTTCCTTGAATAGATTTTCTCGTTATTGGAACCAATTCAATATAATTCACTCTGCTTGTATCACCGTTTGGATTCAACATATGCAAGTTATCAATGATGATGGTAGTAAGAAATCTTCAATTTGCCATTTACTTTTGTTCATGTTCGTCAAAAGCCCTCATTTCAGACCACTCTGAGATATTCGTCGGCCTAAAAGAATTACCACAGCTACAAATGTTACTCAACTCCACATGGTCCACTATGTTTACCTTTTTCTCTTTCATTTTTCTTCTCTCACTTCTATGTAGCTGAGTTTTAGTTGCAAGCATTAATGATGCAGAGTCTTTGGAATCAATCTCAAGCAAGGTATCAGAATGTTGCTAAACACACAGAGAGAGAGAGAGAGAGAAAAGAAAACACCAAAAGAGTAGAGAGAGAGAGAGAAAGAAGAAAACACCAAAAGAGTAGTGGTCTTAAAACACTTGAGGGGTATATCAAAATTTAGAATAAAGTAGGCAAAGTGCTTTCCAATGCAACTTGCAGAAAGCCACTCCTTTGCAAAAGAAAGTGGGGCAGTTTTGTCATTCAGCAAAAAAAAAAAAAAAATTAGAAAAATAAAAAGTAAAAAAAGTTTTATAGGCTTAGAATTGTCATGTTGCTCATGTTGTTGCCCTAGAATTGTTTGCCTAGTAGGGCAGGACCAAAAGCAACGTTGTGCAAAGTGATGTAGGGGGGCATTAGGCTTTTTCAAGAAGGTTGCTACACCCCCCATCACACTGATGTTACAAGCACCATTTAAAAGACAACAACATAGAGGTGCATAATAAAAATAAAAATAAAAAGAAAAAAAAGATTATTTTCAAAAAAAAACAAAAAATAAAAACAAAAACACAACCAAGCCCAATGGTATCGTAGCTATAACAATTTAGAAATCACACTTTAGGGGTAGTCGAATGGTGGGTAGAATTGACATAATAATGTCGTGTCTGACATCGAAAAAAATATCAATAAATTTTCTTTTTTAACTTTTTTGAAAAAGAAAATATGGTTAAAATGCTTTCCACTAATATTTGTAGTCGTAAAGCCTATATTTATATGAGAAATATTAGGCATCATGAAATTTTTTTTATGAAAATGATCATGAAAGATTTGTGACCCTTAGATTACCTTGATTAGTGTGTGATGCATTATTCTATGTGTAATTCAAAGGTCACAAATCTTTCATGATCATTTTCATAAAAGACTTTTTATGATACCTAGCATGCTTTATTTATATAGAATTAATTTTTTTTTTATTACTGGTAGATTGTCTAATCAGTTAAAATGATACCTTTGTTTTGTTCTTCACTTCACTTGATTAGGGAGAAGATTCTACTTTAGAAGAACTTTTAGAAAAATGAAAGGTCAATTTGATATTTCACCTTTCAAAAGGAGAACCTTAAATTCATTTTACAGATATGTAATAAAAACTGTTTTATGTGTTGCCAATGACTAGGTACAGAACTTTTGTTTCCTGAACAGGTTGTAAACAAAGTGGAGAGTTTGGTCAACATTTAGGTTGTGTTTGGATCTTTAATATTTGAAATGATTTGTGAAAGAAAAAGAAAAAGAAAATGATAATTGAATAAAATAAAAGTTTTTTTTAAATCTTTTTTTAATCATTTTCCTTCACAAATCTCATCTCAAATTAAAAATCCAAATAGAGTTAGGGTTCCTAATCAAGATTGGTGAAATACAAAACTCAAAAAAGAACAAATAAACAATACGAATAAATCACTCATACACACAAATAATATAAGATTTACGTGATTTGTCGCAAACTAAGTCTACATCCATTATCTCAGTTTTCACTATAATCAAGAAGGTTACAAGAGATTATAAGGAGCCGTCTCCTCTCAACTATAAATATATATTAAGGCAACAATTTAACTTATTAAGAAATTAGATCTGTGATCAAGTGATTAATGTCCGGCACTTATCAAAATCCATACCAGCTACATACTAGCTACCTCAACAAACACAACCTTAAAGTCCTCATCATTTTTTTTCAATTGTTAGGACACACTCAAGAACTAAACCATGATGCTTTTCAAGACTAGCAAAAAAAGAATATGTTGAAATGCAAGTGCTTGGCTCCAAGACTAGTGATTAAGAAGAAAGATAAAGATTCTTTACCAATTAGGGAAGAAGGAAAAAAACAAGATATTGACTAATGATCAAGAGCACACACAAAACAAAAAAGAAAAAGTATATAAATAGTTACACTAGCTCATGTATTCATGCTTTTGTTTAATTTAATAATTGACTGATTTGTTTAATAGGATCTTCTTCTCAAAAAGAACAAAGTGAAAAAGAAACATTGTCATCCTCAAGTAGAGAACATAGCAAAAAGAGACAGAATGAAGCATAAGATGCTTGAGTTAGTGGATCTTAGACACCACTCTCATCATTCAATTCAAGGTTGGTTGTCAAGTTCAGTCAAAATAAGCATGGTGGGAGGAAGAAAATATCCAACAATGGGAAGCATGCAGTAGGGAAAACCAATCAGATCATACGTATAGCGCCATTTGCAAGAAAATTGTATTATGAGTCAAATTTGGACTCGGCATCTGATGACGTGGCATTTTCGCTTAAATCAACTGTTTCCACTTTGTTTAATGATGGTTGTGGAGGGCACAAAATGATTCCAAGTGTTGAACCGTACTGAGAATTTTTTTCCCTCCAAGGCTGAAGTTCATCGACATCCTCATTGAGTTATTAGAATGGTTAAAATTCACCCTCTTTCTTTGAAAACAAACAGCAAATTCAGATTTCAAAGTGTAATAATGGAACACCAACTCAAATGATTTCCAAAAGACAGATAATAAGCAAACTATTACAAACTTGAACCAAGTAATGGAACTGCGAAGTTTCATGAGGAATTCTTGATATAATTATTCTTGACATTTCACATCACAATGAACAATAATATGAACAACATCAAATAAATCTTTCTTTCCTAGACATTCTAACGGTTGGAATTACAACCATCAAGAAAATTATCTCACTGATGCCTGTATTATATCCACTGTTTTAAACCTGGAACATAATAATTCAGTTGATACGTGCCATTCTCAGCCACCGGACAGCCCATCATCTGGTCACAATCCTCTTTCCTCGAGTTCATCCATTAGGGGAACTCTTACATCAACGACAATATTGACCATGCACAAAACCCTAATTCACAAATGTTTTCAGACCCTACTCTCACATTCCCTTCATCCAAACACAAAATGGAAAACTTACCAAGACAGGCTACCCACTCAGTTTCACTGATCTTTTTGTTCATGCCTTTATTAACATATTCACATAAAACCATCCATGATAGAGCTTGGACAGAGATATCAAACTTCACTGATGAAATTTCTCAATTCAAACAAACCTTTAGAACTAGGTTTTGATATCAGCTTGTGATCATTGATGCTGTGAAGAATGCATTTGAAAACCCATGTTGTAAGCTCCAACCCGAGTCCTATTAAGTGTCCCCTTTTGAAGATTTTGTTCCTGAAGTTCAAGTCCATACGAAGACGTCCCACAAGGAGTTGCCATGAGGAGGCTGCTATTTGGCATGTTGAAAGCCATGACCGTTCCTTGACTTGACGGGTCCCAGCTATATAGTGCCCTCGCAATGCCATTCATATTCGAATGCTGAGGTGGCTGTGCAACCGTGGCAGAGTGGTCTGATGAGGGAGGCGATCTTTTATCGTCCGGTGAAGGAGATTTAGTGTCTGTGACATTAAACGTAGTGATGTCATGGATGCTAGACCTCCTCTTATCCTTCCCTCCAGAAAGCTGCCTGATAAAGTACTTCTGAGCATGACTCGCAACCTGAGTTGGCGTTCTAGTTGTCACAAAATTGCGCGAAATGTTTCTCCAGTCTCCTTTACCATACTTTTTAAGCCCCATCAGAAACTGCCTGAGGTTTTGAATCATCAAATACACAAGAAACTTTAATATCAAAACTACCTATTGAGCAGATAGAAAATGACATTCAATACTAAAGCATTTTTAAATGCAGATTGACAGTTTCATCTATATACCCAACTCTTTTTTCCTTCTATTTTCGATCAAACTATACATGTTAAAAAAAAAAAATTATATCGATCAATTCATACTAATTTGTTGGACCCATTCGAAACCTTCAATTTCCAAAACTATGTTAGATTATCTACATACTAACAATAAAACAAATACATGGTAGGTCCAATTAAACCAACACTAGCAACTTGACACAAAACTGTATTATTACCTGTGCTCCTCCTCTGTCCATGGCACTCCTTTTTTCCTTTCTTGATCACAAGGCCGTGTCGATGAGCTTCGCTTTCCACTGGGGCTATAGAATTGCTTGAACCCATCATAGGTTTGATTACTGTTCTCCCATTCGAAGGTGAAAGAGCTTGTTTGGTATCCAGGAATTGGAATCAACCCTGCCTCTATATCACTCACATCTTCTTCCAATTCTCTGTACTGTTTGATCACATCACTCACTGTCTTTCCAGGAATCATGGCCGCCACGTTGCACCACCGGTCTGGTGTATCCTTATCGAATAAAGCGAGTGCATTCTCGAACAGTTTGTTCTCTGCTGGTGTCCATTTTGTTCCGTTGCTTTCTTCAAACAACCAATTTGAGTTTCTTACATATGATGATGGGGACAGAATTTCCATTCCTCTGTTCATTTTGTGCTAATAATTATAGTGAACAATTGGTGGACATAGCTAGAAAGCCATAGAATTCACAACCCTCTCTCTCTCTCTCTCTCTCACTCACTCTGAGGAGGAAATGCAGAGAAGTGGAGGTTTTTAAGAACAAAAAGGCATCGAGTCAAGAAGCATTTGAAGGGAATATGACAACTTTTTTGTGACATGAGCATGAGATGAGGAATCTAGAAGAGGCCCACCTTTCCAATGCCTAAGGAAAAAAATTCAAGAAACAAAAGAAAAGGAAGATCTTGCTTGTGAATGATACAACTGAGAGCTCTGTACCAGATCTGAAGCACAGAAAGGGTAACAATGAACAAAACCCGTATCAATAATTGAGAAGAAAAAGAGCAAACTTGGTAAAAATTGAAGATAGGAGCTCAGAAAGTGAGAAAAACAGAGGAAACAGAAAGTCAGGAGGGATTAGATCAGTGAAAGTTGGGAAATTTTGTTCTTTCTTTTCTTAGAGGCTAAAGAAGAAAATATTGGGGAAGAAGAGAAAAAGAGAAAGCAAGAGACAGAGAGTGAAGAAGTGAATCCATGACTGCCAAGAGGTTGTACTTGTTTGTAAGAGGACGATAGATCTAAACTTGTAAAAGAGCAGAAACAGAGAGTAGCAGAAGAAGAGAGAAAGAGAGGTCAAAGGTGTTGGGTTGTGATTGGTTGGAAGGGTGTTTGTGGGGGCTGGGAAAGAATAGTTCCCTAATATATATGCTAGAGAGAGAGATGAGATGAGTAGAGAGAGAGAGAGAGAGAGCTGCCCAATCAAAAACTAAGATGGACAATCTGTCATTGCTGAACTAGATCCATATAGCCATTCTTGTAATTCAATAATAATAATAATAATAGTAATAATAATAAACTATACACTTCTTATGAGATTTGTAGGGGGAAAAAAAAATCATTTCAATGTAAAACCGTAAGGAGAAGCCTTAAACGTAATAAAAATTTATGTTTCAATGTAAAAAGTAATGAATTACAATATTATTCATGTTTCAATATTATTTTTTAAATTTAAATTTAAAACTTATGTTTCAATATTATTTTTTTATCCGATTCAGATTCCACATAAAGGAATGAGAAGGTTTAAAGGGTGAGAAAAGAACTATAAATTTCTACATTTTGTGCCTAAACTATGATTAATGAATTACAAATAAAAATGAGATTAAATCTTATGTAAGTTAAAATATTAAGTGAATCAAATGTAATTATTACAAATTTAACAATAACAAAAAAAGAAGAAAAAAAAAATTAAGCATTATGTGGAGAGTCCAATGTAGTTATAACGAATTTATGAGATTTGTTATATTTTTTAAAAAAATTTAGAAGGTATCAATATAATTTATAAAAATAAGCAAAAGATGAGCTTTGGTGACGGTAGTGTGTTGAAATCTAGCAATGAGTTTCTAGCAATGGCTTTCACTATGACTAATGAATTACAAATAAAAATAAGATTAAACGTTATGTAAATTAAAACATTAAGTGAATCAAATGTAATTATTACAAATTAAACAATAACATAAAAAGACAAAAAAAATGAAGTAAGTATTATGCGGGGTGTCCAATGTAATTATAACGAATTTATGAGATTTGATATATTTTCTTTAAATTTTAGAAGCACTACAAGAATTTACACATTTGGCGACCACTTTTGCCGATCAAAAAAATTTTGGTCGCAAAAAAATGACATTTGGCGACCAAATATTAATTAGTCCCGAATGATTATTATTTTTGGCGACCAAATATTATTGGTCGCAGAAGGTTATATTTTGGCGACCAAAAAAAGAGTTGGTCGCAGAAAGTGGTATGCTTTTGACTACCAACTACAAATTTGGTCGCGGAAGGTGACATTTTTTTTGGCGACCAAAAATTTGGTCGCCAAAAACTTATTTTCAGCAACCAAAAAAATTTAGTCGTCAAATTAGCACTTTTAGCGACTAATATTTTAGTCGCTGTTGATTGAAATTTGGCAACTAAAAAATTTTGTCGGCGAAAGATACCGTTTTTGCGACTAATTTGGTATTTTGGTCGCCAAAAATTTGGGAGAAAAATTTAAAACGTAGGGCGGGAATTGAAATTTTTTATCTATAGCAATCTGGTAGCTCACACATTTTCATTTTCTCCTCTCCCATCTCTCTTTGAAATAGGTGCGAGACAAGCGAACAAACAACACCGAACCACTCTCTCTCTCTCGTCTTTGCGTTCGATTCGAACCCTAGGCACATTGAATCAATCATTTGGAGTCTCTCTTGGATCTTCAATCAATGGCGTCTTGATCTGGTAATCAATATCTTGCTCTTTATTTCGTTCTTGATTTTTCACATGTTTGGTTGCTGACAAATAATCATTCGGAGTCTCTCTCGGATCTTCAATCAATTTACAGAGATATCTCACTCACTCAGATCTCGATCTCTCTTTCTCTTTCTCTCTCTGAAGCCATGTGATTAGGTGATTCGTGTATTCGATGTAAAAGCTGTCTATTGGCTTTCGCTTTCTCATCGATTCCCTTTTGGAAGACCACCAATTTTATCAATTTAATTAGCTTTGGAAAATAATCTGTAAGAATTTTGTCAATTCTCTCTCTCTCCCTCATGCCTCAACTTACCTGAATTTCCCATTCTCCTCACTCATCTCTCTTTGATTTTGATTTTGATTTCTTGGGTTTTCATTCCCTTATTGAATGTGATTTCACTTCTGTGATTGTTCGTTTTGTTTCAAGTTCATACATCTCTCGGATCTTTCTTGGATCTTTCTTTTCTAGGGTTTTGGGGATCTACCATGCATTGAGTGTGTGTAATTTTAAGGTTTTATTTTCAGAACCTATTGATTTCAGATGCCCCCATTTTCGGAGTTTCAACAACCCATCTTTGCTTTCTAGGGTTTATGTGCGCTCTCTGTTTAGAGGGTTTTCTGAGCTTGTCTGAGCTTTTTATTGTGTACCCATTTGTTAAATTTAGAAGAAACATCAATCAATTTGGTTTGTGTTTTTTTGAAACCTCAGACTTGTAAAGCTACCTTTTTTCTTAGGGTTTTGCTTTGATTGAAAAAGAATAATCAATTCTGTGTTTTGTGGTCATTGCAGTTTGTGTCTGGGCTGCTAGGATTTGGAGATTTTCGTAGATGGAAAAGGATAAGTCCCCCAACCATGGTGGGGGTTTTCTGCCTCCGTTAGGACGGTATTTGGGTTTTTCTCCTCCGGCTAAAAGTTTCAATACGAAATCAGAGCCTATGGCATCATCAACATTGCCTCCACTAGGACCTGGGGGTAGTTCAGAAACGGGTCATTTTGGTCATGGGATTCCTATGGATTCTAGCCATTTTAGTCATGATATTAGCCGAATGCCCAATAACCCGCCAAAGAATAAGGGCCATCGGCGTGCCCATTCGAAAATTCTTACTCTTCCTGATGACATTAGCTTTGATAGTGATCTTGGTGTTGTGGGTGGTTTGGATGGACCTTCATTGTCAGATGAGACTGAAGAAGATTTGCTTTTTATGTACCTTGACATGGATAAATTTAATTCATCCTCAGCAACATCTGCCTTCCAAGTTGGTGAGCCATCTTCTGCAGCAGCTGCACGAACTCCAGCTTCAGCAACTTCTCCTACTGAGAATGTGGCCCCTTCTTTTAGTGAGAGGCCCAGAGTTAGACATCAGCATAGCCAGTCGATGGATGGGTCGACTACAATTAAGCCTGAGATGCTCATGTCAGGTTCAGAAGAGGCATCTGCAGCTGATTCTAAGAAATCCATGTCTGCTGTTAAGCTTGCTAAGCTTGCTCTTATTGACCCAAAGCGTTCCAAGAGGTAGGGTTTGTAATGAAACTGTGTTGTTTGGTTGGTTCGTGCCTATAGCATCATTGGAATGTGCACAAAGGATTCGTAGATGGAAAAGGATAAGTCCCCCAACCATGGTGGGGGTTTTCTGCCTCCGTTAGGACGGTATTTGGGTTTTTCTCCTCCGGCTAACAGTTTCAATACGAAATCAGAGCCTATGGCATCATCAACATTGCCTCCACTAGGACCTGGGGGTAGTTCAGAAACGGGTCATTTTGGTCATGGGATTCCTATGGATTCTAGCCATTTTAGTCATGATATTAGCCGAATGCCCGATAACCCGCCAAAGAATAAGGGCCATCGGCGTGCCCATTCGAAAATTCTTACTCTTCCTGATGACATTAGCTTTGATAGTGATCTTGGTGTTGGACGTGGTGGTTTGGATGGACCTTCATTGTCAGATGAGACTGAAGAAGATTTGCTTTTTATGTACCTTGACATGGATAAATTTAATTCATCCTCAACAACATCTGCCTTCCAAGTTGGTGAGCCATCTTCTGCAGCAGCTGCACGAACTCCAGCTTCAGCAACTTCTCCTACTGAGAATGTGGCCCCTTCTTTTAGTGGGAGGCCCAGAGTTAGACATCAGCATAGCCAGTCGATGGATGGGTCGACTACAATTAAGCCTGAGATGCTCATGTCAGGTTCAGAAGAGGCATCTGCAGCTGATTCTAAGAAATCCATGTCTGCTGCTAAGCTTGCTGAGCTTGCTCTTATTGACCCAAAGCGTTCCAAGAGGTAGGGTTTGTAATGAAACTGTGTTGTTTGGTTGGTTCGTGCCTATAGCATCATTGGAATGTGCACAAAGGATTACACTAACTTTTCTTAATTGACCTAAAGCATCCTGCAATGACACTGTTCTTTGGAATGAATGAACACTCTACTTTTTATCCTATTGGACAGTCTGCATAAATATTAGCTGAATCCCCCCATTTTAAGGTTAAGAGCAAAGTTCCAGTTTGTTCGGGGAAATGGTTCTCAAACTTCAATAGCAAAATTTAACTAGTCAAGAATACAGTTTTAAAACTACAAAATTAGTGTGATAAAGTGTTTTATCGATGCAATTGAAAGAAAAAAAGTGTGTTATTGATGGGAGAGAAATATCCTGTTTTGCTTAGAATAAAATTTGGGCTGTTAATATTAACTTTATGAAATGTGAAAATGTGGGTTAGAATGCTAGGTATTTGCTTGTCCAGCTTGATACCTTGTTTTGTGGCTCTTTTCTCCTTTGGTAGGTTTTATAAACAGAGTTACGCCCAGTTTTATAGGCTTATTCCTCACCCAGTTGCGCTATTTACATTAGAAAATTTCTCATTTTGCATATGTGATATCTAGCCATACTATTAATTTTCCATTACATCAACTAATTGTCATCAATTTACATTTCATCTTTTCCTTCTCAAGGAGTTGTCTATTTAGTTCTTGACTTCCTAACCTGTCTGTTATGTGGTTGGCGGCTCTGTTGGGTGATGCTTACATATTATCTTTTCCTTTTCAAGGAGTTGTCTATTTAGTTATTGACTTCCTAACCTGTCTGTTATGTGGTTGGTGGCTCTGTTGGGTGATGCCTTGATTACAATGCAAGTTGCTAAGCTTCCTTGGTGGAAGAAACTCATGTTTCTCCTGGACTTAAAATATTCATAATAAATGGGCATCTGAATGTGTTATATAAGTATTTTACTGGCCTTTGCTAAAGTTCTTTTGTCAAACCCAATTGGTACAGATTTCAGCATAGCTTATAATGGTTGCCTTGATGTTGATGTTTCTGATACAACCATGGCAGTACTTGGTCAAATTAATATACATTTCTTTTTTACATCCAATCAAAAAAGGTCCGGCAATCTGTCATGTGTATGGTTCTACATCCCACATCAATTGGTCAAATTAATTTTAATCATGGGCTATGGAATAACACCAAGTATGGGTGGGCTTTTGAATGGCCAGCCCCTTGAGTTAAGTGGTCTAAAGCATTAAATCTTTTTATAAATAAAGATCGCTATGTTGTTGAATTGGCCCGGTTTGCTAAGGAATTGATAATTTATCCAGTTCAAGTCAATGTGTTGTAAAATGGTTGGTTCACATGTGATTTTTTATCCCAATGGTGTACCGGGTTGAAGGGCCAAAAACCAATTCAAACCAGCTGGCGTGCTACATACCAGCTGGTATTCTAAGCCTTGGTCCATTGCTTGATGAGTGGATAGGTTTCAGTTACATAACTGCCATGGATGCTTTGTAATGCTTCTTTCGTTGACTAAAATATTATTTTTAATTTTTTTGTTTTTGTTTGAATCAATTGAGGCAGAGCAGAGCAGTAGCAATTGGAAGTGTTTGACTAGATTTTGGATCTATGTGGTTGGCTTGATGTCATTTTCAAAAAATGAAAATTTTGAAACCCTTTCAATTGATGGGTTTTCAAATTTGCTAGTCTATTTGCTTTGTTCAAAGTTTGTTAAAACACATTGTTTTACTAGTCTATTTGGAACATTGGCCTTGAAAATTTCTTTAAAGCTGTTGTTGGATTGGTTCAGTTGGACTGGCATGAACGATGAGTATCCATGATAGTGAAAGAAAAGTAAATATCCATTTTTCATTGTTTTATTGATAGACAAACTTCCTGCTAGTCTTCAACACTTCATATTGTGGTTTTTGTGTTTTTTATTCAACAGGAACATCGGCAGAAGATATGGTGTCATTGAATGTGATCCACTAGTTCGCAAGGGCCTCGAAAGAACTGTAAGTAAATCCATGAGTTTATTTTCTTCTTCTTTAAGATCTGCATTCTAAAGAAGCCTGATTGCTAATAAGCTACTTGTGTATGAGTTTGTGGGTTTCCATGTCATTTGCCAATTATGTCTATCCACTTATTTGGTACTACTCCATCATAACTTCCTGAGTAACCAAACTCGATCCATTTATTAGTACCACCTGTTCCCTGACTACCTGAAGTGACAGTCCAGAGATATTAAGTACTTGAAAACTTAGGAAAAGAAGGCTCATATGCTATGTTGGCACTTTAAATTTGGGGTGTTGCGAACACGTTCACTCTGCTATGATAGGACTTGAACCCACTCTCTTATGCTTGATAGGTTGTTTTGTTCACTTCACCAATCAATCAACAATCCCATAAGCTTTTAATAACTGTATAAGAAGCTGAGACCAGTAGTTATGATTCGTTAAATATTCATTGCTTTTACGAAATTTATCAGCAGTTAGCATCAAAGTAAATGAAGAAATATAGCCAGAGAAATGTCATCTTTCATTTCATTGGAGCTAAGAAAAAATTTGTTTCCTGTTTTGTTGCCTATCTCTGGCTTCTCTGATGGATTTTTTTCATTCAGTTGGGAGCAACTGCTGTCAATTTGGTTGCTAGAGAAAAACCTGCTGATGTTTACTCAGGAATAGCTGCTAGGTAAGTAGCTTTTTCACAATGCAAGAAGCTTATATCTTTCATTCAGGTTTTATAGATATTAACAGAGTTAAATCACCTCAGTTGACAATTGCATGTTAAAAAATGCCATATTTGCCACGTAGAGTTCTAGATATAATGAGAAAAGATGCTCAGAAAGATCCTGAAGTATTTCCAGATGCACTGTGTGCAAGGCTTTTAATCAATCAGGTTGGTACCACTACCACATCTACTATGACTACTAATCATTATTAGTAAAGTAAATTACATTGACCTCCTTGAGGTTTCTAGCCATTTCCTTGTGTTTTTGAAATATGCCCTCTCTTACTTACATCTAACATAACATTATGTATATACCTCCCCCCTGTTGACATACCATCAATGAGAATGATGGAAAAAGATAATGTCATCACTTTGTTAATTTGTAATGCCAATTTTATCCTTATAGCTTACAAATCTACAGTTGAAGTTGAAATCATACAGCTTACAAATCTACAGTTGAAGATGTTTATTTAGTCAAGCCGTTGCAGTTTGAACTTGCTGTATGTGAAATATGCCACTACCCAAAGTTGATCTTACTTATTAGGGGTGGAGAGCTGGAGTGCATGCGTTTTAATTTTCTGATTTGTTTGAACTTAGCATATGCAAATGGAAAGTTATTTTGTCACCATTATGATAGGGGAGGTTTGTGTAATTTGGGAAACCTGAGAGACGCTATTTGTATTCGTTTAATACGTTACAGGTTAGTGGGAACAGTACTTATTAGGGTCCACAAGACCCAACAGGAAGTACTCTCTAAACCAAAAGAACAAAGATCTCAGCATTGATTTCTTTGACTTTGTGAGTGGGAAGCACCACCCATTCCTTTCCCTCAACCACATAAGACAAATAGATGCCACATCCCAAACAGCTTGAACTCTTCTCTGGGAGCAATCCTTACTCCGAATGCCCAACATATTAGACACTGTCATTTACTTAGTATGCTATTTTTATTTACTTAAATAAAACTGGTAATATTCTTCACTGTGCTTTTCTCGCTGCACATTGACATCTTTCTTAATTATCCCAATAGTTAGTTATTTTCTATGAGTGACGTTGGACTGATAAGTGGCAATAATCTAGGTGGACAAGAAATTAGTGACTTGTGAACAAGAAATTAGTGATCCCAATTGATGTTTTTTTAACCTTTTATCTTTGGATTTCATGTTGTTTTATTCATGGTTATAATGTGTTTCAAGTGTGTTTCTCAGGTGTATGAAACACTTCCAAATATAGAAATTTTTTGAAATAGTCGGACATGTTTGGACGTGTGTCTAACAAGTGTCGTGTCGTGTTGTGTCATGTCATGTCATGTCATGTCAAAACCTTCTTAAAAGTGTCCATGCTCAACAATTTTTTGTGGGATCCTTGTTTTCTCAAGTCTTCTGTCTCATGGATTCACACATGCCAGATGTCAATTTTAAGTAGCCAATAAAACAAGAAAGTCACATGTCCTCATGTTACGAAAAATTTAAATAGACTATAACTTGGACTGTAGCAGGGGCAGGTTGCTAATTTGATGCATCATGTATCCCATGCATAATAGCATGGGAGGTTTTACTTTTCCAATGTCAATCCAATAAAGACAACTCATATTTACGTGGATTCATTCATTTAGCTTTAACTTCATCGTAAGAATATTCTTCTTTTCTGGTTGAGCAGATCACATTGACTGCATTGGGAGAGATGTTTCAAGCTGCTCGTAGTATCATGGGCTGGCTCGGCGACTGTGCAAAGGTGGTACCATATCCTCTATAATCACTTTTGATTGCTGGAATAACATGTTAAATATACATCAGTACATGGCAATTATTCTGAAGGAATTAAATGATTTGCTTTATTTCTTGGCCCTTTTTTTGTTTCCTTAACACTAGTTGGGGGTGTCATATATTTTCATTCATGTATTTGAGTTGAGATTTTTTATTTTAAAGGAGAGAACAATTGGGTTATCAACGAATTAAAAACTTGGAGTCCTATTGGTTTAAGTCATATTTGGTGAATCTGCATTTATAGGTATGGGACCTGATGTTTTGTTGATAAGCAGGTAGATCATCTATATAGCAATTGTTGATAAGCAGGCATATGCCTCGGGAAGGGTAGCCAGGGTAATAAGGCTCCCATAGCTCTGTTCACATTGCTTACTCAAATGTAAGTAAAAAAAGCTTTGGATTTCTAAGATCACCTAGTTCCATAAAGAAATGAACATGAGAAAAAGAGCACTTCACACATCAAATGTCATACAGTTGCTCAATAATTGTTCTAGTTTCATTAATAAATGCATTCCAATGTAGAAGCAACAAGCTGTTGATTCGTGTGGAATGACTTATCACCGTGATAAAATCTAAATTTATTTGCTTGGTAATTATATTTGATTTCATTAATTGTTTGGCCACGATGCGTTACGCTTGGGTGGTACAAGTGCTTCAGTGTCTAGAAGGAAATTTTTTTGACATTTATGTTTGGCATTTTGACAGGGAATTGATATGCATAGGACAAAGTTGCTAAACATTTGAAGTGGCTAAAACAATATCGATGGGGCCATCATTGAAAAGTGGATCAAAAGTTGGGAAAAGTGGATCAAAAGTTCACGAACCAGACCAACACCCTCCCCAACATATTTCTTAACAAGTTCACGAAGCTAAATTGTACAAGACTACTTGGCAGTATGAGCATTTTTTGGAGGATTAAATATTTGTGGATAGATGTGTATGGATAACAAATATTAGTAGTTTTATTTGTTGATAGCTGCGCATGGATAACAAATAGTTATGTTTCAAATTGTTATGCTAGATGGATGTGACTTGTGAATGAAAACTTAGAATAGTTGTATTGTGTCAAATGTTAATGAATTATGTATTGTGTCGAATGTTAATGATTCAGTTAATTTGAATGATGCTTTAAAATTATAGGTTTATTATGGATTGAATGAATTATTAGGAATTACAGGTGTATTGTTTTCTTGCTTTGGCAACCAATTTATTAGTCGTGACATCTAAAATAATTTTTTTTCGCAAAAAATGATAATTGCCGACCAAGAGTTTTGGTCGCAAAAAATACATCTATTGCCGACCAAAACAGTTCTTGGTCGTGGAAACTCACTTTTGCCGACCAAAAGTTTTGGTCGCGAAAAGTAATAAATGGCGACCAATTTTTTTGGTCGCAAAATGTGATAATTGGCGACCAAAAAATTTGGTCACGAAATGTGACAATTGGCGACTAAGAAATTTGGTCGGCAAAAGGCGACTTTTCGCGACCAAAGTGTTTTAGCGACAAAAAAAATTAGTCGCGGTAATTAAATATTTAGCAACCAAAAATTTAGTCGGCAAATCCAACCTTTGCCGACCAACTAAAATTTTGGTCGCGAATTACTTTTGCCGACCCTCAATTGGGACCAAAGTAGCAACCAAAAAAAATTAGTGCGGATAA